TAAGTATGAGCTTTTGTTATAAATTTGGGTGAGAATTGGATAGATTACAGATTTATCATAGTATATTAGAAATTAGTTTAAATTAGGAGCTTTGACCCAGATTTGTAATTTGGGAGATTTTTGGGCATTAAAACTTCATTAAAAATATCTTTAATTTTTAAGGTTTGTACGAGATGGATGATAAATCATTTTTCTTCTCTTTTTTTTTTCATGCTTGATTTAATATGGATTTTATTGATTAATACTGCTGTTGTTGCTTGTATCCCTTGCAAGATTAAGTTAGAATTTATATAGTTAATTGGTCATTGTTGAAACTGTACATGAGCTTGGAAGCAGATGGCTACTTTTTTTAATTACTGTTCACGCATACTGTTCACATATTACTGTTCACGCATTACTGTTTACACGTCATTGTTCACGCACTATACTTTAATTTTTTTTATTAGGAAGTTTTATGGAATATGTGAGCTCTGTGTGTGAATATTGGTATGAATTTGAATTGTTAGTATCACTGATTAATGAAAACATTAAATGGAATAATATTCTAATATTATTTTAGACATGTTCTAAACTTGTTTGACATGTGTATGTGTTTGTGGCTACAGAGTAAGTGGACATAAACTTCAAGTTTAGGGTATTTAATGGATCTTTCAGGATATTTAGTGGATCTCTGTGCAGTAGAGTTAGTATTGTGATTAGCTCAAATACTGTGTTATTAGCACACATCAGTGAACTCTATAGTATTGTGTGATTTTCGGTTTTGTGCATTATACTTGTGACATCACATTTATGAGCACATGGTTTTACGATATGAATTTGATTTAAATGTCATTGGTTGTTCCTTGACATGTTTGATTATTTGTGAGTTAATTTGTGATATTAGATTGTTATTTAAACACTGAGATTTATAATATTATGTGATTTGGTTTAATTGTCTTTTGTGCTCTTTGTGTGTATAAGTCTAAGCACTTTAAGACCCAAGTTTATAGCCTAAACTTAATACTTACTGGGTCTTCAGCTCATAAAATCCCCCCTCATTTCAGATTATTAGATTGGAGTAGCAATCACTCAACTTGAGAGCTTTCAATATAAACCTCGTATGTCCACCTCAGTGCTTTCGATGTGAAGGTGGATTAATATATTACCAAAACGATGATTTTACTTTTATTATTTTAAAAAGTATTTTGAAAAGTAATTGCTTTCATGTATTTTTTGTATAAGTTATTTTTATGTATATGACATCAAAATTAATTTAAATGGTCATAACCTGACTTATTTTATAATTTTGAATATTTCGATATTTTTTTATAGATAATTCTTACTCTTTTTTTTTCTTAAGGAATACATTTCCTACTTGGTAAACCAAGAAGTTTATCAAAAAGGGAATGTTACAAGTTCAAAGTAAGAGTTTTCTACATGATCATGTTGGTTTTGTGTCTATATGGATGTTTTAACTCTAAATTAACCCATATCAAGAACCTGGAACTACGATAGATTTGGAGGAATTGAAACCATAAAATTATTTTTCAGAAGAAGAAACAGAGGCACAGACAAGAATGGATAGCAAACTGAAAAAGCTTAGAGCACACTTTGCAACACAAAGACATTAAATTGTTTCTAAGCAAGAGATAATTGAAATAAACAAGTCAAGCTTGTGATTTCACAAACTGTGCAAGTGAAAAGCTATCTTGTTATGAGGACATGCTTAGGCATAGAAAAGGCAAACCTCTGCAATGTAACATGAAGGAGGGTCAATGTCACACCAGGACTTCCATTCAGGAGATAGCAGATAAGAAGGAAGCAAAATAGCATGGCCACATTTTGTTCTTCTAAGAAGTTAAGTTTTATGTTCAATTAATGTCAAATCTCTTCTAAATCTCCACCCCCTAATTTGGGTTTGGGTTCGATCAAGAAATGACATTAACATTGGCAATTGAAATCCACCAACAACAATCTATCAAGTTTCTATAACCCTGCACCACAGCCAACCTTTAGTACTGTTCACCTATTTATACACCATCAGCTAATAACTACTAAACTACCATCAACATAAACACCACATGGAACAAAAGCTCGGGCAAGGAATGATAATACAAAAGAAAATAACAATTCTACAGAATCATAGCAATTTTACAGAATCCTAACTGTAACAACTCTCTAGAGTTCTACGTTGCTTACGGGTTAATTTCGAATATTATTACTCCAGAAAGAAAGAGAGCAAAGAGAACAGGATCACTCTTTTCAAAAAGTAGTACACATAAAAAGACGTTATATTACTAAAGAAACTTAAGCTGCGGTACAATGCAGAAGTGGAAACCCAGGCCCATCATAACTACGCCCAAGAACTCTAACTAGATACAATCCGCCCACAATTTTCTTCCCGGCCCATACCCACATCAATGTTCCCATACCCCACCGCCCACAAAATTGTTCAACTTGTTTTGGTGGGGTGCGCCTGGCCCTGGCAATAGTGCAACGCCTGGGCGACGCTCGAAGGCCCCAGTAGCAAGCTACTGTAATGGACCCTCCCCCTTAAAAAATTAATTTAATATCATGTGAACCAATGACCCACGTATCAGATATTAAACTGATAAGAACAGATACTACACTTGATCTTAGCCAAAAGGCCGAGAAAGGTATGCTTGAAAATAGATTGGGCTCCGTCTTTTAAGTCAGAGTCGTCTCATGGCGTAAGCTTATCTGCTCGATGTGGGACAAACTAGAAACAGCATTATTACACACCCAGTAGAGCCACTACGAAGTGGGCATCGAATGAACTCCATCGTTGCCAAAAGGCATCATTGGAGTCTCCGGAAACACGATTTGACCTAGATGATCTTCTTTTTGCTGCATCTGGAGTCCGTCTTTTGAATCTAAGGGCTGAGTTTGAGCATATTTTCCGGACTGACAGATAGCCATATGTCCATCCTTGCTGTTCTTAAAAGTAAAAGTCCTGATATTCTGCTTCATATCAAGGCCAAAACTCATCGAACTGCGTTGTCAAATGTGCAATGAAGATTAAATATAGACCTATGTGATTTGCGAAAGCACAGATGCAGTTACAATCAAATCTACTGGGAAAAATGAGGGGTATAGGGGGGTCTTATCTTCCAGTCGGACTTTAATTTGACACTTAAAATTGCTTCTTTATGATGTTTGTATCAGTGGTGAAGGATAATAACCCAAGTAAACAATTGCAGTACATATGAAGCACGACATAGAAGAATGAATTGTGTTAATGAATTAATTCCCAGCAACATTGTTGATTTTGCAGGCACATCTGTTTTGTTATAAAGGTCAAGGAAAATCAAGTATAAGAGCTTGAAGCAGTAGCCCTCTTTTAAGGTTGCTTCTCCACTTTAGATTTTCTTCTCTCTGTTCCTCGGAGCTACATTCCAATTTCCATCACAGCATTACATCCTTCTATTTCATCAACAAATAGGAGCTGTGTACAAAAGTGTCGGTATATAAGACGTTATCATACAATCATACACAGATTTACAGCAAGAAGTTGTAAGCTACTGATTAGCTCAATTCAATGAGCCTTCAGTGAATATTTGTAAGATATTTATGCTCAATGTTCCTTGTCATCTTATTGAAGTTATACTTTGCTCTTAAACGTACTGTTGAAAACAACCTCTGATATATCAGGATTAATTCCCTTGAACTTACTCTCTAAAAGACTCTGCATTATCTGATTCTTAAAAAAGAATTGTAACAACTAAGAAACTACTGTATAAAGGCACCCCAGCAAATTCAACAAAAAGCATCAAAATTTCCTTAGATGAAGATTGATCAAGTAGAAAAAGAAAAGAAAAAACTGTCAAAAAATTTGTTGCATTCTTCAATTTGTGAGTGTCATCCTTGTGCAAGGTTCATGCTAATCTTCTTTGTTTCGTTCCAATTTTATGTGATGTACCCAAAGGGACAATCTCTGTTCTTCAGTTCAGCTTTGTAAGCAACATTACCAACGGGATGTAAGTGGATGATGCTGGAGTCTGGTTAGATTCTGGTTGTCTTTCAATCGAATCATTTAGGCCCGGATGAGAAGCCCAACTTGTTCCTGTTTCAAGGTTGAGCCTAGGGATGTGGCAGCTGGTCCCCCTCCTCATCCCTATCTCGACTAATTGTGGATACAGAGATTGTTGAAGAGATTTTTTATGGGGTAAAATTCTCGTCATTATTTTTTCAAGAAATGGCAAGTCTTGTAAGTAAATGAAATTCTT